TTGGTTCTTCTAAATGGGTGTCCCCTGTTGTGCCGGTGCTGAAAGAAAATGGAGAAGTACGTCTTTGTATTGACATGCGCCGGGCTAACGAAGCCATTATACGTGAAAATCACCCATTGCCGACAATGGACAAGCTGCTGCCTAAAATGAAAAATGCGAAGGTATTTACAAAATTGGATATTAAAGACGCATTTCACCAACTTGAAATAGATCCGGCTTCAAGGCACATAACCACCTTTATAACTAGTAAAGGCTTATTCAGGTACAAGAGACTCATGTTTGGTATATCGTGTGCCCCAGAAATATTCCAGAAAACATTAGAACGCATGCTTTTAGGATGTGAAGGTGTGGTAAATTACATTGACGACATTTTGATATACGGAAAGGACTCGCTTGAACATGATTTGCGATTAAAAAAAGTAATATCTGTCTTAAATGAAAATAACGTAGTGATAAGAAATGACAAATGCTGTTTTAGAATGGAAAAAGTGAGTTTTCTAGGACATGAGCTGTCAGGAGAAGGGGTAAGACCATTAAAAAAGTACATTTCCACAATAAAAGAATTTAGAGCACCAAAAACTACCGGAGAGCTACAAAGTTTTCTAGGTCTCGTTAATTTTGTGAGCAAATGGATACCCAACTATGCCACGGTAACAGAACCTCTTAAAATCCTACTAAGAAACAAAACAGGAAATCGAACGGACATAACCGAAAATTGGGGATCAGAACAAAAGTCATGTTTTGAGTCGTTGAAAGAAATCATGTCAAATATTTCTAGCTTAGGGTATTATAATGTTAGCGATCGTACGATTGTCATAGCAGATGCTAGTCCTGTGGGTTTGGGCGGAGTTTTAGTTCAAACTAATTCCAAAGGTGAGCCTAGGATTATTGCATATGGCCACAAAACTTTGACTGACTGTGAACGCCGCTATTGCCAGACAGAAAAAGAAGCGCTAGCTCTTGTATGGGCAGTGGAACATTTCCACATATTCCTTTATGGTAAAAGATTTGAACTCATAACAGACCACAAACCGTTGGAAGTAATATTTGGTCCTAAATCTAAACCATGTGCGAGGATAGAGAGATGGGTTATGCGCTTACAATCGTACGACTATAAAATAGTTTATCAACCAGGAAAAACCAATATCGCAGATTCATTGTCTAGACTAAGCAGAAGTGCGGAGAAATCCCTGATAAAACTAGAGGACAATCGCATTTGCCAAATTGTAGAGTTTGCCCGACCTCGTGCTGTTTCTCTTAAAGAAATAATAGATAGCTCAATGGACGATAGGGAAATACGGAATGTGAAAGAGGGTTTATATCGGAACATATGGAACGATGACGTGAAGTTGTATAAAATCTTTCAAAATGAACTTTGTTTCCACGAGGGTATATTATTGAGAGGAATGAGAATTGTAGTTCCCTCGGCACTCCGTAAAAGAGTTTTGGATGGAGCTCACGAAGGACATCCCGGTATCGTGTCAATGAAGGCGAGACTTCGCACGAAAGTCTGGTGGCCTAGATGCGACAAAGAGGCCGAGAATAGGGTAAAAGCATGTAGAGGATGTACTCTTGTATCTGCACCATGTACACCAAACCCTATGAAACGGCGTGAGTTGCCAGAAGGGCCTTGGATTGATATTGCAATTGATTTGATGGGTCCTCTTCCAAGTGGTGACCATCTATTTGTTGTAGTCGATTATTACAGCAGATATAAAGAAGTGAAGATTTGTCGTAAAATTACCTCTACTGAAATTGTAGCCAAACTTAAAGAAATATTCAGTCGATTAGGAAATCCAATTTCAATAACTGCAGATAATGGAAGGCGTCTGAAAATAAGTATAGCTGAAAATAAAGACTGGAAAGAAAGTTTGCTGGATTATTTGACCATGTACAACAGCACACCACATTCTGTTACGGGAAGAACCCCATCAGAACTTTTCTTCAAAAGGAAGTTTAGAGATAAATTACCTATGGTAAACGATACAATGGAGAGGACAGCACAAGACACAGAGGTTAAGGATAGAGATCAAGAAAGAAAGCAAATATGAAAAGAAAAGGGAGACATGAAACGGAAGGCTGAAGAGTGTGATTTAATACCAGGAGACAAAGTGTATATAAAAAATGTGAATAAAGAAAATAAATTAAGCTTAGACTACAATCCAGAAACACACACAGTGGAAAACACGAAAGGAGGAGATATCACGGTAAGAAGCGATGAAACCGGTCAAATTCGAAGAAGGAACGTTGTACATTTGAAAAGAGTTCAAGGGGAATGGAGTGTCTGCCAAGATCAAAATGAAATTAACGACGAGGAAATGAATGTCGGAACTTAACCCTAGTGTAGCTACATAAAACTTTTAATTCCATTAATTATGTTTGATTCATATAAAATCCATTATATATATGTATCTATATAAATCGTTGTATAAGTATTAAGAGAGATATAGTCAATAAAAACAAATAAAACAAAAAAGGGATGTAGTGTATTGACTAGATAAAGTGTTGCTTGGTTGTCTCAGGCGCCTACTTCACTGGGCAGTCGAAAACCGACACTCGAACGGAGCGGTTGTGCGAAGGACGATTGTACAGGTGTTGTGGCGTTGGTGAGCCGTAAAACACTCCGAGAAGCTGGACATTACACTAACATAACATCATCCCACATATTTGCATGTTCAGCCTTTAAAAATTCCAAGAAGGTCGCAGCATTTAACCTTGCAGGCAAAAGGTAGGGTCCAAATAGTCGATTACGGTAGATACCAATCCACACGTTCACACTAAATTCATGCTGAAAATTTCTTTCCCGAACTGCATGCGGATTTTCATGCTACCAAATATGTTGATTATGAAAATTTACCACTCCACGTCTAGTGAAGCATGACTCATCGGTCCATAAAACGTTACTTAAAAACTCCCTATTATTATCAGTTCTATCAAGAATCCACTGACAAAATGTAATTCTTCGTTCTCCGTCCCCTGGCTGTAGTCCTTGCACAGGTGGCAAATGGTAAGGACGTCTATGGTCATTTCTAAGAACACGGTAACATGGCTTGCTGAAATTCCCAAGGCACCAGAAACTCTCATAACATTTGTGGTCGGAACATTTATGTTTTGATCCATTTGGAGATTTCCAAAACCATTTTCAATTATTTGGCGATGCACTCTTACAAATACTGAGCGAGTTGGATGTCGTCTGTTTGGAAATCTTCGTGCGTATTCTCTGGCTGCTTCTGCTGCGTTTCCATTTACAAAGCCATACACAAAATGAATATCCGCTAACTCTTGATTGGAGAATAAAAATGGCATTTTTATAAAACTTACAAAAAAAAAAACAGGTAAAAGAAACTAAATTTCGTGCATTCACAATTGCAAAAAAACGTTTCAGGTTTCAACAGACAACAAAACTAACTGTCAACTAATTGACGTTTAATCTTATTCTGCTTTCAATTTCAAAAATATTTGCAGGCACAGCCTACTTCTAAAAATTATCGAGATACTGACTTTTTAACGTTATTTTATCATAAATAATTAAAAATGCATCGAACCTTAAGAATCGAAATATCTCAAAAACTCAAAAACTATAACGAAAACTCACAGGAGAGCTTTTTTATGTTGAAAAGTGCGAAGAATCAGTATTTTTATTCAAAAAACAAAAAATTGCACAAAGAAAAATTTTCGGTCATTTTAATACACTACAGGTACAGTAGAGAGCGCCCTCTAGCGGCTACAGTAAAAATGGTTCGTTTTGTCGTACCAAAAAACCCTTGTATACCAATTTTCACTGTTATACATCAAATATTGTTCGAAATATTTAAAAAAAACTATTTTAGAAAGTAAATTTAAACACCCTGTATTTCGGAAGCCACGCATTTTTCGACCCATGTTTATATAGACTTTATGCATTAATTTTAAAAGTTCTATCGAATCTTAAAGTTATGCAACAATAAACTGAAACACCCTGTATATATATATATATATATATATATAAGTTATGTACCAGTCTACAGAGAAGAATATGCTGAACAAGGACTTTTACCTCCACGTTCCTTTCTTATCAGTTACAGTATTGTATTTCATTTGTTCTTTACTTTGGTTTGTATAATGAACTTTGCAGTCAGTCTCGATTCAGAACTCATTCAATTAACATCATTGTATTTGGTTATTCTCAAAAATAAATCTTTTTAAAAACGTTTTCGTTGAAGAAAGATATTTGAGTTATATATTCAAATGATGGTAACAATATCGTCTTCAATTTCATTGTATGAAACAATAGCTTAAACCCATATATACACCTATATTATTCTAAACGCTATTCACTTAGAAATAATTCCTAGTCTGGAAATAAAAAATGTCATAGGAATTCAAGTTGGCTTTTATTAAGTGGGTTAGCATATACGGCGAAGATACTTCATAGGATTAATTGATGGCATCAATATGGGCTTTTTGTATTTTTTTTTTAATTTTATATGCTGAACCCTAGCTTAAGCCCATTTTGACGGAACGACATTTGACATTTATAAAATAATCCGGTATTTGGCAAGACAATAGAAAATCTCCGTTGTCATATGCTATTCAAATTAGTCGTTTTTAAGTGGGATGGTAGATATGATGTTGTTATAACCTCTCTATATCGCTATTTAATAGCTATAAAGTAATTCAGTATTTGGGAAAATATAGAGAATATCAAAAGTCATACGCTACTGCAGTTAATTGATACTTAGTGGGAGGTGGCAGATACGATGCAGAGGCATCATCAAATAGTCAGGTCTGGATTCCAGAATGATTTATCTGTCTACCTATAGTGGTGCTGCTAAAATGAAGTTGAACTATGGGAGAAACTTTCAACAAATATTTAATGCGTATAACTAAGGTTTTTTAATTTATTTGCCAGAAACCTATTTGAAAACACATTTTTAAAAAATTATAGAATAATTCAGAATGATGTAATCTGTACTAGTGCCGATGCAATAGAAAATTGTGCGTATTTTAACTGATCTTACCGATGTTGGTCTGGCCTTGACCGAGCCAACTCTTTTCCTCCTAATGATGCTCCCTATCCGCTTCGTTTTTTCCTCAGCAGAAGAGGGGTGCAGAGATGCGCCTGTGGACGCGTCTTTTTTCGTCCCTGTTGTAGCTGATGAACCATCTTCGGTCTCGACAACGGCGTCTTGGTGGCGAAGGAAGAACGGGAAGTTATAGAAGCTGCGTCTCCGCTGCCCTGACGCCGGACCGCCACTGGGTGTTGGTAGAGGTGTCACAGGCGTTGTTCCTGTGGAAATGAGTTTAACTTTAAATTTTTATCTCTCTTTAGAACACTAAAAAACTGTAAGATGCGTCGCGTGACCTTTTGACTTTGGCAAGATACATTCACAATTAGCATTACGGAGCCCAAAAGTTGCCTCTCCCTAAATGTTATAGAGCAGAAAACAAAGAAGCTCCCTTTCATGCATGTATTGTAGCACTATATGTTATTGATATTCTAAGAAAAACTAAATAAGCATTTGAAGCGTGAGACTTCTCTAAAAATGAGTTCTCTTCCAGTTTACGGATTACTATACACAAAAGTATATGTCTGTGGAGGATTTAACTGCCATGAAACGTGCAATGGTTGAAGTTATACTTCAGTTCATTGGATTTATGTTCAAACCCTATTTTCTATTATACCCTATTCGTAGTCCATTTACGCCCTGGCACAACAAAGATGTAGCGCGGCAAAGCGGCAGCCACCTTAGCGTTGCAATAGCTAGTGGTCATTCGGCAATAAAACTACAAATAAGTGCAGGGTTCGACAGGATAGAACTCAGGCTCGGGGTATCGCTGGCACGCCGACGCTGGCAGTTGCTGTTCATATTCGGTGCATACATAGCGTGTGTTCATACATTGGCATGTCGTCTACGGATACAGCAGATGACACTGTGAATATTTCTCCCAAAGCTTCCTTCCTTATTAGTTTTGTTGAATACTATATGAAATAATTATTTCCAGGAAAAGAGAAACGACTTGTTATCTGCCACATTGGCAGTGAAGATGGCTCGGTGCTCACTGTCCTATGGGTAATTTGAGTCAAAGAAAACGACCGACTACCTTGAAGAAATGGACGAGAGTTCATTTGAACGATGGTTTGAAGAAACGCTCCCAATGCTTGACGGCAATGCCGTCATTGTGCTTGATAATGTTGCATATCACACTAGAAAGCTAGAAAAAATTCCCACAATGTCCACAAGAAAGGCAGAAATTCTACAGTGGCTCTTATCAAAAGACATTACTTTCAATGAAAATATGGTCAAAGCAGAACTTCTACATCTAGTCAGGCAGCACAAATATAAAGATAATCTTAATGTTATTCAAGTGCTTCCAGCGAATAAAGAAATGTGAAAAGCTTGTGCACTTCCTTCTATAAAAATAATCACTTATTTTATTAGATTATTCCAAGACCACTGAGGAAAATACAGACCTGTACAATCTCTTTTGGGCATGTTGTGTTTTGTCTGGGCGTAAATGGACTACGAATGGGGTATAAATATACTCTTATACAGGGTGTTGGACACATATACAACGGCCTTCAGAGGACGCTACTGGAAATCGATTTTCCTTAAATAACTTTTGAACGACAATGCACAATTCAACGAAACGTGTAGCATAGTAACCAATTGGACCCCCACATGATGAAGGGCATGATGGTATCAGTTGAAACAATTCATTCAATTCGTCAGAGACTGTCATAAATTACATATTATTACTTTTACTGAAAGCCCTATCTTTGATCTGAAAAATGTGCTCTTGCCTGGCATCGAGTAAAAACACTTTTGTTTCAGTCCAGTTTTGGAATCGGCTGCAGTGAAATTGTATAGGAACAGTATTGAAACAAGCATGTTATTCTAAAAAACGTCTGATTTTATCGAAATCGAACAGACAAAAAGAGTGAAATATTATTTTTAAGCTACAGGGTGCAAAAAATCACCAATACTACGTTAGGGCTAGTTATTCCAATGAGTTGATTGCGATCTTATTCTGGGACTCTCTGTCCAGTTTTTATTATTTAATGACTTGCAGTAGTAGTAATGGTGGGTAGGCGAAGCCTGGTAACTAAGCCACTGTTTACCCTTTTTGCCAACTCCCTAGTACCAACACTGCACTCATCCATATTCTATCTACTAGTAACTGATTATTGAATCAACCAGCTCCAGCAATGCGATGTACCTATATTGATCTAGCACTGATCTGGTGCTTAATAGACAAGCACAATAAATTTCTCGAAATCACCTTTCAAGGCGGGGATTTGAACCTGTTAGTAACTAAGAAGCCACTAAATAGGAGCACTTTTGCTCTTATATTTCGTACTTTATAAATATACCTTCCTTTATCATTTATTAAATGGTATTTAAACGTGCTTAACATCGTGTGATATTGGTTGGGATTAGGAACTGTGAACAGTGGTGACCGGTGATTGTGCCATTTGTGCAACAGCAATGGATAGGGATAATTACTGACTGTAATCTGTGTGTATCTTAGCTAAGGTACACCTATGACTTCAACAGATTCTATGCTTTAGTGAACTACGAACGGACTGGTTTCTAAGTTGTTCATATGCAGGATGCTGGGAGTAGTAGTAAAACAACCATACCTGCCTCTGGGAAGCACTCAACTTATACACGACAGAAAAAATAGTTAATACGTTTCATCATTATCATTATATTTCATTAACAACCCGGGAGCCCATGCACCATAGAGCGTTCATCGTTTGTTAATGGATGCAAATTTTGTAGCCGTTAAATACCTAATGGCAGATTCTGATGTGATAACCACGCTGAGAATGTATTCTAAGGATTTCTGCTGACTAAGCTTTTGTTGCTATCACTTTCACAAGCAAGTATTTTAATTATAAAAAATCAATTAGGTACCCATTTCTAGTGCACTCTGATATTTTCATTCAATTCGGCCTTGTCGTTTTCCCGGTTTTAAACTATGGTTTAAGAAGTACCTACTTGCGCAAACCTCTTTATCGGCTGTGTCCGTTAAAAAATTATAAACGCTCAGAGGTGCAATGTATCTCGGATTATAAGCAAATCTAATAATTTAGTAAAAGGAACGGAGTTATTTTTGTTTTCATACATCTCAGCTGTCTATGGTAATGTTTAAATATCATTCAAAAAATATTGAGTCATAAAAATTAATTATCAGCGCAGCGTAAGAGATGATGCAAACCTTTTATTTCCAACTATTGGTTAGGCTAAATAGTGAAAAATTAACCCTGTTATAGAAAAATGGTAGATATATTCTAGAACGAAATTATATCCTTGAGGGTAAATGGAAAGTTACTCATTTAGAAATACGAAATGTTTTTTATTAGACGTCAGAGATGATCGTCTACAAAAGAGTTGTAGCTTATGGATAAACTTACGTCGCTAGAGAGCTCATCAGGAAAGAAAATCGACCTACAAGCAGTTAGTGACAATTCTGAACTTGCAGATATTGTTGACAGCTCTCAATCAAATTTTACCAACACTACATGATTTCAAACATACGCGAAAAAGTATTTTTCAGATTTGACGGTTAGTGAAAAAGTTATTTAGCAATATTTTTTGAATTTCCAGATAACCAGCACCTTCTCATACCATCAAGAATATTTTTTCGTCGTCAGATTAACTATACAATTTTTTTCTGAAATTCTAGATAACCCGGTTTAATATATCTTTTGACTACTAACTAATATTGATGATGCTGAACTATGTTTTGTTGGTATATCCTCTCGAGGTTGTAATAATGATGAAAATAAATCTGAAGCAAGAGGCATTAGAGGTTTCAACAACAACATCTAAACGTAAGTTTCTGACAGTTCTAGACATTTCTAGATTTTTATTTCGAATCGGTGTTTTGAGGTAAGTACGTTTTGAACTAAGCATAAATAATAATCAAAGCTGGGATAAAAATTGGGCAATCAGAAAAGGTTTTGCAAACAAGGATTTCTCAGAATGTCAATTCATTGAATCGAAGAACTGAGATTAAGATTTAGTTCTTTTTCACCAAATGGAATGGTACGGAATGGTGTATGGTGAATCTGATGGATCATATATATCTTTTGACCTATAGGCGCTATTCTGGGTCGTACAGTCACCGTAGTGTAAAATGAAACAGAGATTATAATTTTTTCATGACTAGTTGCCTCATGATCTCAAACCACTTAGATGAAAGCTTAAAAGTTTACTTGGAAGTCGCTGTAATACCTCTTGCAATTCCAAAACATATAATTTCTTAACCACTAACCTGTTTCTGGAGTCGCCTCGCAGACTTTGAGCGTAAGCCGGTGCTTAGTATCCGAAGCGCTGGCATCAGCACCAGCACCGCGATAGCCGCGCCCCGCCTCCAGGTCCTCTCCCGCGTCCCCTTGCTGGAGGGGCGGTGGTACTACAGTACCGCCCAACGCGGCAGCCGCTTGGGGCGTGGCACCTTGCAGCAGTACCAGCGGCAAGTTCATCCACGGCCCGGTCAGCTCGCTGACGTCGCTGGCGTCGGACGCGCGCGACGACTTGCGGGACGAGGCGCGGCTGCCGCGGTGCACGTGAAGGAACGTTGACAGACGGGCTGACCAACCTCCACCACCACCGCCTGGTGAGGACGTTTGTGTCGCGTCGTCTACTTCCAGAGCTTCGCGCTCTTTGTCCTTCTTTCGCCTGTGACAGAAATATTAGATTGAAACTTATAAATAAACGAGACCATCAATCTGATTCCACAGTCTACGTGGTGGGCCATACTAATAGAGAGATATTGCCCACTATCTTAGTAAGGTTTTGCTTTACTTGAGGCAACCGTCAGATAATTTAATGGGCGCAAATTACAGTTATTGCACGGGTACCCTTACGGACTTTGTCAGTATGTCAATTCACTTTTGCTGCCTCTCTTCCTGTCACCTCTTTACGTTTTGGTAACATATTTACCAAAGAAGCTGAAAGGTGGAAGTTGTGTTGGAGGCGATGATATTTGCAGAGGTAGAATATCAGAATATCCTCGATAATAGTTATTAGTTAGAGTAGTAGAAAGATTAAACACAGAAAATTTGTCAGTAAAAAAATATAATACATTCTGATGCCTCACCTGATTTTATTCATAAATAAGTTTCAGGTATACTTTTTTAAGTTTACGTTTACTGTTCTTCTACTGTTTATTTAACATTAAGTTAGAATCCGATTGGATATCAGATATCGATTCTTGTGATGATGAAAACATATTCTGCATTATACTGCTTCATAATCGAAAAATGAGAATCACGTAAATGTAACGGTATATCTTTACAATGAAAGTGAATTCAAGGAAAATTTCAGAGTGACTCGCAAAGTGGCTGAAGATATCTCAACTAAATACGAACACAGAATCTTTTTCAAAAAGGCGACTGGACGCAATGGGAAACTTTATGCTTATGAGCAAACACTCATCTTTTTGTGGTTGGCAGGTCATGAATCATCATTTCGTGATGTAGCAGATAGATTTGATATAACAATTAGTTGTGTATTCCACATAATAAGGCGTTTATTCAAGTTCTTCGCCAGTATATCTGGAACTGTAATTCAATGGCGTAACAACAACAATGAATAGAAAACGTAGAATTTCATCTAAATATCAAATACGAAACTAGTCTTTTGGAAAACGCATGCGCGTGGAAGGAATTCACATTCGGGTGGCAAACCATTGGAAATGTGATGCTAGAACACGACTGATAGCTTAAATAAGCACGGTCCGATTCATAATTGTATTTGCGCATGCGCAGATGTCAAAATAAAGTTTGCATTGATAAGGCCGAAAGTTAGTAATATACCCTACTATCCACATTGTCAAAAAGATCAGCCCGGATTACTAGGATTTGGTGGCACCTTTGATTCATTCTGTACTGTGATTTAACTACAGATACCGGGTAGCAACGCCCCTATTTGTTGATAATGAACGTGCGTATATTATCGCTCCACAATTATTGCGCACTAAATTTAGAAAGCGGGATGTGCAAACTAAATGGTCGGTGGATTATAGACCGACTGTTGGATCAGAAGCTGGTCAAGCCATCAGTCGATAGAAATTACGCCAGTATGAGGAAGCTCCTACAAGTTTTCATTCTCGATTAAAATATTTGCTTTGTTTTATAAAATGGGGTTTTAGTGTTTATCAAAAATGTTATCCATTAATTTTATCATACACTTTGAACCGTGAGATCTACTAAATACAGGAATAAACTATGTATGCCTTGCAGAAAATGGCATAGATATTTAACTAATTTCTATTTTTGTTTAAAAAAACATGATGTCTGTGTAGTGATGTTTTTCAAAAAATATAATCATTTCTGGCATATTTTATTGGATTTTTGATTCCCTTTAACAAAATAAAGCATTGTACATAATAGATTCTGATTAATACAACCCCTGATGAGCAGAGGTCAAGACATTAATTGCCTGCAAGCCTAAATACTGTAAGCTACTTGTTTAGCAGAATCTATTTTGAATTCGCCTACTTTTGATATCTATTATGTCACGGCTTATGTCTGTGTTTTAATCAGATAATAATTCTGCTTGAGGAGAGAATAGAAAATATAAGAAGTCACCCGAAGTAATTTACGAGTATTCTTAAGAACCTATTGAGAGTTAATCTATTTTAGACGGTTACTATGTAAAGCTTTACGTTTTACAGCAGACGTCATATGATGATGACCACGCTCTGAGAGCTTTCTGATACATCATTGGAAACGGACATAATAATCGTATGAAATGAAAAAATATAAACTAAACCAAATAGGGAGAAAATTGAAATTGCTAAAACCTACTTTCGCAACTCGGCAAAAATTGGAATGAAATATCATAAACTTCTTTTACCGAATATATATAGATTGGCATATCTCACGTACATTAGCAATGATGAATAATTGACGCTTTCTATAATAAGTCTGACAACTTGCAAGTCATCCAATTAATTCGATGGAACACCGAATTCGATGTCAGTAATCAATTGACTTCAAATTGGCATAATTATCAGACCTCTTTGAAACATGCTACCCTACTGAGCCCCTACTGAGCGAGGGCCGTGGCAAATGCTTGTTCCGGAAGTTGTTGTATCCAGTATACAAGTGATTGTGCACGCGTTAAGGAATACCTCAGTACCGATTGCCGGGTGGCGGTACAAGTCCGCCAACGGGCCACTTTAGGTCTATTTAACATCACTAACACGTAAAAAGAAGGTGGTAGACAAGGACCAGCCGACCGAGGCAGTACCACCCGCTAGCTTTTCCCAGGGTGTCTTATAAATGTCCGCATGTTTCCACACCTAAACTATGCAGTCGGTTATCTACCAAAACAAAGAAATTAATGATGATGGATCCCTCGAGAACTAAAAACTCCGGACGTAAACTCACTCCACTCTCGGAATGTCCGGGTGGAGGGTGGGCTCGAGGGAACAACATCGAAGATAAAATTTGTTTTTCGAACATCTGCGGGATCAACAGCAACATTGATGCTGTTCATCACTACCTGCAATCCAATCGTCCCGCCGTGCTTTTCTTGGCGGAGACAAAAATCTCAGAGACTGCACCGATTAACCATCTCAACTTCCCAAACTACGAGGTGCACTCCAATCTGAGAAAGAACGGGGGAGTTGTGGCTTTTGTCCGCAGCAGTCTTTCCTGCTCCAGGGATCTTTCTTTGGAATCAGACCGGAAGGACATTCTGTGGCTTCGCCTCAACTCCAAAACATCACCCAAATTTATTTGCTGCCTTTATCGCTCTCCCTCGAACCATAACTGGGATGACCTACTCGAATACCTCGCCGTCCAGATCGACTTCCTGAACATCAATCACCCCGCTTCAGAGGTAGTTCTTCTCGGTGATTTCAATGCCCATAATGAGCTTTGGTTGGGCTCAAATAAGACCGATGCAGCAGGTCGTGCAGTCGAAGCGTTCGCTCTTACTCAAGGGCTGACCCAGCTGGTGACGAGCCCTACTTTTTTCCCCCGCGTCTCGTCACACGCCAGTAGCCTGCTAGATCTCTTTCTGACCACGCATCCTGCCCCTTACAGCACTGCTGTCCTGTCCCCCCTGGGTAATTCAGATCACGGTGTTGTGGAGGTTAGGTTTCGGTCAGAAGCCGCTGTGGCAGCAGAAACTCGCACAGGCCGCAAAACTTGGCATTACGGACATGCCGACTGGGAGGGGCTCAGAGACTTCTTCTCTAGCTTTCCTTGGAGAGATGTCTGTTTAACTGACGTGGATGCGTCGACTGTCTGTTCTTCAATAACCGAAATTATCCACGTCGGAATGGAGGAATACATCCCTCACACAGTGAAAGTTCCTAAACCAGGGTCCAACGGCTGGTTCAACAAATCGTGTGACACTGCTCGCCAGCAGAAGATCAAGGCCCACAGAATCTACTTACAAAACCCCACTGTAGAGAACAGACAAGCAGACGTCGAGTCCAGAAACAAATATAACGAAGCGGTTCGCAATGCCAAAAACCAGCATGATATAAAAGTTAGGCACAGGGTAATGTCGCAGCGCAATGGCAGTCGGTCTTTCTGGACGCTGGCCAAGCAGATTGAAAAGAACTTCTCACACAGTAGCCTTCCACCACTTACGTGTCAGGATGGAACTATTGTATTCGACTCACAGGCCAAGGCGGAAGTGCTAGCCAAGATCTTTGCTGCCAACTCCACCATGGACGTCCCCACCAACGCCCAAGTGCCGTCAATTCAAAGGGTTCCCCACACTATGCGGGAAGTAACATTCAGGCATAAGACCGTAAGACGAGTGCTCTTGTCGCTCGACATCAACAAAGCTTCTGGTCCGGACTTGATTCCTGCCATTGTACTGAAGAGATGTGCAGCGGAGCTTGCTCCAGTTCTTTCGCGTCTCTTCCAGATATCTTATGAATCCGGCACCTTCCCAGAAAACTGGAAATTTGCTCATGTACAGCCCATCCCAAAAAAAGGATCTAAAACCGACCCTTACAACTACAGGCCTATAGCTCTGATTTCTGTTATAAGTAAAGTGATGGAGAGGTGCATAAATCGCGAGCTTCTGGACTACCTCGAACGTCACAGCTTGATTAGCGACAGGCAGTACGGTTTCCGGCACCAACGATCCACAGGGGACCTCCTAGCTTACGTCACGCAACTGTGGAGTAAACTCATCCAGTCTCATGGTGAGGCTCATGTCGTTGCTCTTGACATCACGAAAGCGTTCGATCAGCTGTGGCACGCTGCCCTCTTAAGCAAACTTCCATCCTACGGCCTCCCAGAAAAGCTTTGCAGATGGGTGGCTGACTTTATCTCTGGCCGCAAGATATCCGTCGTAATTGACGGATTCTCCTCTTCATCCCACAACGTCAACGCGGGTGTTCCCCAGGGATCGGTCTTGGCTCCAACACTGTTTCTCTTACATATCAACGACCTCCTTTCCTGCACGATCAACCCAATCCACAGCTTCGCTGATGACAGCACTCTACATGCAGGAATTCAGAGTGACAAGCCGATCTCTGCCGCTGAGCTGGAAAAAAGAAGACTAGCGACGACTTCTTCTCTGACAAGAGACCTGGAGGCTATCACTGCTTGGGGACGCAACAATCTTGTACAGTTCAATGCTTCCAAAACACAGTACTGTACCTTGACGAACAAAAAGCGTCCTAGCGCTCATACAGTTTCGATGGACCGTCGAGTTCTACCAAAGAGCCATTCATTTCGGCTGGTCGGAGTCCAGATCACCGAGGACCTGATCTGGCACGAACACATCTCTTCAATAGCTGCAGCTGCTGGGAAAAAGCTAGGCTATTTGTTTAGGGCTAAGAAGTACTTTTCTCCGCATGACCTTCTCACTCTATACAAGGCCCAGATAAGGCCTAGCCTCGAGTATTGCTCACACATTTGGGGTGCTGCCGCCCCGACTACATTGTCCATGCTCGATGCTGTCCAGAGGAGGGCGGTCCGACTGATCGATGACTCTTCTCTAACAGACAGTCTCGGGACTCTTTCGCACCGGCGGGCCGTCGGCGATCTAGCTCTTTTCTATCGCTACACCAACGGGCTTTGCTCCTCAGAGCTCTCTTCCATGATGCCGCCGCGCGATGCGCCTGCCAGACAGACCCGCCTGACTTCGGCATCCCATCCTAACCGTGTCAAACTTCGTACATCCAGAACTTGCCGATACGACCGCTCCTTTGTCCCGAGGGTGTCTAGATTGTGGAACAATCTACGGGAGGAAGCTTTTCCCAGTTCTGCTAACCTTAGGCAGTTCAAAAATCGTATTAACAAAATTTCTTTGGGATCATCATAGCAGCCGCGGTGTTCCGGCATTTAGGCTTCTGCCTGCGCGGCTGTTTCGATATATAAAAAAAAAAAAAATGTTTTTAAAATCTCTTTGTATCAATTTTGTTGTTACTGTTATGCGAATGTGACATTTATTGACGGTGTAGCTGAAACGCAGGTAATTACCGAAGTACGAGATTCAAGGTTACGTAGAAATCCACTGACACGGTATGATCAATAATAAATACTGATGATTTGGAACACAGTAAATACTGCTCGTATGGCATTTTCCTTAAGCCTACTTTGTATAACTAATTCTTATCCAAAGTTAGTGGCTTAACTTACTTCACATAATCTTTGAAGGCTTTCTGTATTAATCTAGCAGCCTTGTCCTGTCTCTTCCATATCCGCGTTGAAGAAACGATTTCTAGTTCTTTCCTTGTTGGAAACTGCTTTTTGAACTTTAAGCTCATCTGTTCTTGTAACTGGAAATAGAATATCTGTGTATAAAAGTATCCAATAGTTGAGCATAGGCGGGCATTCTTTTCTATAAGAAGAGATATCTCTCCAAGAAAAATGCTACGTTCTCACGGGACAAGAAGACAACTGCGTGGCAAGTGCGCCGTTCCTGACTGGCGAGTACACGCCTGAAAATCAAACATGCTTGATTTGGCACCGGGCTTGAGCGGTGTCGAATTGCACCTTAACTCATGCAAGAATAACGCTAGCCTGCCAGGTTTCCTGTTCCCTGAGAACTTAGCCAGTAGTTATCAAAAATGTAAAATGGCGGTAACGTAATTCCGCCACGAAAGATCGTTGTTCTGTTGACAAGAGAGGACACCAATGCGAAATTAATTTATCAATTGTCTTTCAAACTGTCACGATACAAAGCTAAGTAAAAGTAAGTTAAGAAATTCAAGTGTAATAGCTTGTGGTGGAATGATCAAAGGATGTAAGGAAAGATCAGACATTTTTTGCCCATCGGCCTATCGGTAACAATTATTATTGTCTTAATGTTAGGTTTTTGTGAAAATCTTTATATTACGCAAAGAAAACAGTAATTAACAAGATCATTGAAAATTTCAAAATATTGGCGGAAAATGTATTCACTTATTATGGTGAAATAAAAAACGAGTAGGTATCCATAAATAAAAAAAAGTAAAGTATATATTGACCACCTAATTATACTAAGTGACATATAAATCCGAACACGGAGTTTAAATGGTTTTATTTTAATAAAATTTTGTATAAGTACTTAATGAAGCATAATAAGTAAATGATAAAAATTTCCTAATGATTGCACTGCTTTAAAGCCCTTTGACCTTTAATAATGTGTGGATGCACCCTGATGTGCTACGCATTCTCCAACGCGCCTAGGCATGCTTCTGATCTGAGGTGGTCAATGTCCTCCTGTGGTATCTCATTCCAGGCAACCACCAACTCCTCTCGAAGTGCTTCTAGAGTCTGAGGGGGACGTTGCAAATTGAGCAATCTCCTACCCATCATATCCCACACGTGCTCAATTGGGGATAAGTCGGGAGATCTTGGTGGCCATGGTAACAATGTGACATCATTATGTTGAAAGAAGTCTATTGTGACTCTTGCAACATGTGGTCGGGCATTATCTTGTTGGAAAGTTGGATCTGCCAGGGTGTCAAGATAGGGTAAAAGATGGGGTTCTAGAACTTCGTGGATATAACGCTGCGCGTTCATGTTACCTCTGATGAAGATTAAAGGTGACCTGGAACCATAAGCTATAGCACCCCAAACCATAACTCCAACAGTGTGATGAACATGTCTTTCAACAAAAAAACTGTGGATTCCTCCTTTCACCACGTCGCCTTCTAACCCTGGCACGACCATCGTGCATGCCTAAACAAAATCGAGAGTCGTCACTAAAGACAATACTGTTCCATTCCTGATCCCAGAATGACCGTTGTCTGCACCACTCAAGGCGATTACGTCGGTGTTCTCGAGTTAAAGGGAGGACCCAGTGTGGCCGGTATGAAAACAAGCCAAAACTTCTCATTCGTCGGTAAACACTTCGCATGCCAATAGGTCTTCCGTGTTCTGCAAACCATTCATTTGCAATAGACCTGGTAGTGGAGAAACGGTCCTTAAGGCCAATAATCTTAGGCGGCGATCTTCACGGTCTGTTGTTCTACGGCGGCGTCCAGTGCCCCTTGCTCTTTGCGTACGGCCTTCTCGAAGCCATGCCTGACAACACCTAACCAAAGTGTCTACACTTCTTTGCACTTGCCCGAAAAGAAAGTCCAGCTTCCCGAAGTCCCACTATACGGCCCCTATTAAACTCACTAAGTTGACGAAATCGTACAGGTCTCCGTACTCTAGGCATCGTAACCGATCGTAAAGGATGTCAAGAACCAAAATCCGCCAACGTTGATTCTTTACTGCGGCTGAAATATTCATTTTTATAGCGTTAGTGAATTAAAAAAAGCAGTATAAAAACCCGAATGTCCAACTGATAAGGCTGAAAATTTTTTCTCTTGTTATTTACAGTAAGATAAATACATTCACCAACTTTTATTAAAATAAAACCATTTAAACTGGGTGTTCGGATTTTTATGTCACTTAGTATATATAACCTCTCTCGCAACATTTTTGATTTGCGATAATGCCACTCGCTTGAAACTCTGACGACTTATATTCAAAGGTAACTTCGGGTAGTCTCAATTGTGTTGAATATTTGCCCATCAAGGTTATTCACATAGCGCGAAGCAATAAAAATCCGGTAGCTCTAGGTTTGGACAACACGGTGAGTGCCACACTACTCTCTTACCAACTATTTGCAATTGTCTCCTTTTAGTAAAAAAGTGGGTAATCGGACCCTGCCATGAAGCATGATTACAGCTTTCTTGTTTGGTAATACAGACTGATTTCGTGTAATAAGCAATTTATCAAATTAGGTACACTTCTTTTTCGAGTTTATCATATAACTCTACAGAAGTAACCTAAAAAAGCACTTTGCAATCCCAGCACATACTTGTATGCATAGCATCATTTTACCCGGGTTGAAATCAGGTTCATTATAGAGATGGGATATCCACGTAAAAAATAAAATCTAGAGCTCTGGCTGGGAAGTACTGCGGTACCCATCGTGTTCTTTAACTTTAGTGCAAATCGATTTTCACTTGTTCTGATGTTCAAGGGTTCGGATAAATGGAAGCTATTAGAAATCATGTCTCTGGCTATTTTGAATTAAGACTCTCAAGAGTTTTACACAAGCCGCATTACTACAAATCCAAAATGTTCGAGAATTAAATAGCTTTACTGTAGAATTATGTGGGTGAGAAACTTGTACAAATAGATATTTTTAAGTATGGATTCATGGTTTGAATGCACTATCCAGTTAGCAGCATCTTCAAGTATATCAGCAGTGGTGGACTTAACGAGTCGTAGAATGTACATTGCTGCCTGGACTTTCCCGGCAGAAATATTACAGGGCCCCAGCAGAAAAGCTCTAAGGCAATATTTCCCAGCTAGTTTAAATGTGACATCTGTAGCAAGAGATTTACCTTTTGCAAAATTTCTTGCTACTTTTTCATCAATTTTAGAATACTTTTTTGAAAATACGTAAATTATAGATACCTGTATGTCATGAACTTGCAGCTCTCCATGCTAATATACTATATGTGAGTTGAGGCTTAATCATTGTAGGTATTATGTACGAAGATACCTTTCTGTCAGTTTATTCGCAAGGTAATTAATTTTGTGCGATACAAATCTAACTTCGTTTAAATTATAATTGACATGGATGTCACAACATCAGTGAGGATCCAAAACTATTTCAAGGTATTTTATATTGGCACTCTATTAATTTGCAGTTTTTGATCATTAATGTTGAATAAGACATCTGTGCCATTTGGCAAATATGTCTAGCATGAGATACAAATGGTAAAAAATGTGTTTTAGAACAGATAATGCTATTAAACCACCGAATTATTTTGGGAAAATCATTTTTGATTACATTTTTCAGATCAGGCCTGTCATTGCCTTCATATAATATTGCAGTATGATCTGCAAAACTGGTTACTTGATATACATTTCCTTGCTAAATGATCTGGATATGTGGACAGATTGCGGTTTGATAGGTAATTGCCAATCAGTGAATATGCTATTCCTTTGAAAGCAATGCTCTTCAATGTGTCTAATAACAATTTATGATTTACCTTGTCGAAAGCTTTCTTTAAATCAACAAAAATACAAATAGAAGGATTTTTGTTATTAACATTTTGATGTATTTGTTTTAAAATTTTAATTATTGCGTCCGATGTAGATTTCCCTAATCAAAATTATAATTGGCTTAATTAATTTTTTTCGCAGTGTGGTAAAGCGTCTAATATTAAGTGGCAATACTGCTAGCTGCCGCGGGAGGGCGACGAGTTACAAGCGGTACATTTGATTTTCAGATCCCTGCCCACATCGGCGTAGACAGCGAATTTTGACAGGATTGAACAAAAATATTGAACGCTTGTCAATGGATTGCTAATATGTGGTGGAAATTACTAATACTCATAGTTAACTTACCTGTCTAAAGTTGTCAGTCTCCTCTACGTGTCCTAGGACATGTTTAACCAAGGCGTGTAAAATATCCAGACAATGGATTTTATCGCCTTTGGCTATTGGCAAATTGAAGCTAACCAAAGCCACAGTATTGGGCTTCGATATGCCTAGAGGTGGATCAAGGGAGGCTATGAAGTCCGATAGTTGTGAAAACTGGATGAATTGAGTAGCATGTGGATCATACCTGTAAAAATGAAATAACGATGATTTGACAGGACTGTTTCTAAAAGGACAAAATTTGTGTCAAATAGATTTACTCAGTACTTTCCAAGAATTCGTCTATTGGTTTGTTCGTACAACCTGCTGGTTGACAATCAGCAAACTGATAGACGGCGACAAGTCCTGACCTAGTTTTCTCAGTTAGCTGTCACTGACACGTCGCTGACTGTATTAATTGCGTACATGAGAACGTTACGAGTTTGCTGAGGGAGCTTTGACCGATTACCGACAACTGATCCACTGTTCGTACAGAAACTTCTGACTGTTTGATGACGGTCAAATTAGTCAGTAGATTGTCAGAGCCCAAAATCAAGTACAAAAATTTTTCGAATATGCCCCAGACACTTTTTGAAGAGAGCTGTGTAGGAAGTTTTCCAATCCCCAATAGTATACACAAAATCATGCTGAATAAGGATAGTTTACGGTCCAACCGAATTGTTGAAAAAGTGTATAATGGACAGCCCAACTTTTAGATTGTGAGTCGGAAACTATTCGTAGGACACTTTTGTTCTACGTGTTGATATTTGAACATGCATAATTTAAAAAAGAACACAGCCGAAAGCTGTTTCCATAAGGCATCTGCAGGGTCCTACTAAAATTCTTGGGAACCTAAAATACTTTGTTGAATAAGCACTGCACGAAATAATACGTATAATAGCGAGAAAATAAAAACCGTTAAGCCGGTCACCTGGAAGACAAATAAATATAAAATACCTTGTCATTGTCACTAATTTCTACTACTTTGAAACAGACCACCTATATGACCGAAACGTCAATAAAAAGTAATTTATACATAGGTGATTTTATTTTGCCAGAGAATCATGGATGGAGTACTATACGCCAAGGCGGTGAAAAAGGTTTTGAGGAATACTATACAATTTTCTTTACTAAGTTTTGGATGAGGGTCTCCCACACTTTAAGATTTGTCGCACCCACTATATTTAAATCATCCATTGTCGCGGCTTGCTATAGTATTGGCATTACATAAATCCCGAAAGTGTGAACAAAACCTGCATAACTGCAGATAATACAATCACGCATCGACAATTTGAGAAGTGTCGGATTTTCTTCATCTTTCAAGTAAGCAGTTTCTAGGACGGAACACTATCGAACTCTATCATTTCTTATTTTAGTCGAATGTCTAAACTTACTTGCTCCATCGAATGTAAAACATCTCCAAATCATCTTCAACGATGCCAATCTCTTCCTCTTGATGTGCTTGGTTGAAATTTTCTAGAATAATAGCTATATACATGTTGATTACGATCATATAGTTGATGATGATGAAACTGGTGAAGTAGATGATAGCTAGGAGAGGGTAGCCACAATCTCCATTTGATTGATTTTTGTAATGGGGGTCGCACTCCGGATATTCGATCATCAGTGACTCCAAAACGTCGTTCCACCCAGCTGAAGTTATCAGGCGGAAAAGAAGATGCATCGACCTGAAATAAAGAGAATTAACAAATAGTCACGGTGAGGCATAAACTGTCATAGGAAACAATTGACTTATTTTGATCACCAGAGACCAAGTAACACTAACGTACTTTTTTTAACACCATGTATATCAATGGCACAAAAACGATATTTTTAGAAAGCTTGATCCTTTAGCCGAAAAATCGCATGCTTGTTTGATATCGGCAAAGTAAGCCATTTTTGAGAAAAACATACTAATTTTTGACAGGATAGACAGACATGAATCGGATCAAAATAACCGTGTCCACCCCTTATTCAAAATATTAGCGGATTTCTTATTTTGATCAATTTGCCTAAGATACCCTAAAGTCTTACCAATAATGATATTGATACAAATAGGTATGCTATTTCCGCCAGTTTGAAACTATAGTAATCTAAGATCAGCTGCCAGAAAAACTCCAGGGTATACATTTTCAGGTCATCTACTGAAATGATAGATTTTTGTAGAATTGTCAGCGCATTGTCTGAATCGACAAGAGCAGTATTCAGACAAAACTATTTTTCGCAAAACCATGTCATGCTGCCAAAATCAAACAAAAAATAATCCTCTATGTTTGTCTGGCTGCTAAATGGAACCACGATGACCGAAAATTCGTCAGTAAGCGGAGTATTTCAAGCAAATGTGGTTTTGTTCAGTGGCCAGACAAACATGGAGTATTGGTCTAAGCATATTAGCAAAGGTTACGTTTTTTTCTTCTAAACAACTTCAAACATTTCGTATTTGTGAGTAATTGAAAAATGCGCAACGATAGTCGAAAAACATAGGTTACTATACACATTTTAAAACAAAGCGGATGTGTCTAACATCTTTTGTTGCGAATTACTCACAGATACGAAATGTTTGAATTTGTTTAGAAGGAAAAACGTGACCCATCCTTTTTTGCATAAAAATCACATTTATCTTCCCAAATGGTTTGCGATTCATATCGGCAAAGTAAACTAGTGTATTTTGCTATAAAATGCCCTTTGAACTAACCCTGTATATTGCTCAATAAACTAGTGGTAATGGCCGGAAAACAGGTGTTTTGGGATAAACAATTAGAAACTCTCTAAAACTACTTGAACAATCTGCTCCAATTTTGTTGTGGAAACCATCGTCGCATTACGAACAAAAGCCAAAGCGAGCAGTTTGCCTCGGTTTTCGGCCATAATTTCCTTGCTATTAGTCGGATCTAGTTACGTGTAGTCTCATTCTGTAGGTATCATAAATACCTAAAAATCTTATATAAAGAGTTTTCTCCTTCCTGCCAACACTTTCGATTGAATCCCAAAAAACACGTTTTCTCATGCTTCGTTGTCGAATAAAAAGTTTTCTCACACAAATTGGGGTACCCATTTTATGCGTCCATGTTTTGAACGCCCCTTGAGCAACTTGCAGCAATAAAAGCAGACTTTACAGTTACTTCGCAAACCAGATTAGACTATATGAAAACCACATGATATGTTTCAGGTTTTACAAAAATAGGTTCTTACGGATAATAGATTAAGCTTCAAAAAATGATACTTTAGTCGAAAAGTAATCCTCTACGTTTCAAGTATTTGTGGTTTCGTATAGCGGCCAAATAGACATGGAGGATATCCAGCATGAAAACCACAAGATACCTTTCAGGTTTTATAAAAGTACGTTTTTTACGGATAAAACTTAAGATTTAAAAAATGATGTTTCTTATACGGGGGTGAGAATCGTCAATATAACGTTGGAGCTAGTCAATGTAGGGCGATTTGAATGAGATAATTGATTTCTGTAGATACCATTTCTGATTGCCAAACTGGTTAATATACTGTACAATTTTCGTTTTTTTCAAAGATTATTTTTAATGTTTCATAATATATGCATCCGAGAGATTGATTACATATTCTTGACACCCTGATAAGCTCGCGTTATGTGATTTTTAGAGTGATACTTTTTTCATTATCTACTAAGTGACATATAAAATGCAACACCCAGAATCACTTATTTTTTGATAAGAACTTGTAAACATATTTGCTGTCATGGAGGAACACGCTGATAAAATGTTGAAGGCATTCCGAGCCGTACTTTTTTTGTAAAGGCTTTTTTGTCACATCAAACAAACGAACAATATGAACATGAATGAACTTAATATTCAGTGATTTTTCTGTGTTGCTTCCATTTATTTCATTGTTGTTTCATTGTCATACCTAGAGTTCGCATACGCTCTAATTTCACTCTCAACTTTTCGAGTTTGAGAGGGGTCGGATAACAGGGTTACGTGAAGCCGGGCTTTTCTTTTAGAGAAATCGCTAATCGGGTGAATCGAATCGAAGCTATACTGTAATGAGATGTTGTCGAGTGTGGTTCCAAGAAGGCCAAAATCGACAAGTTAGCGGTTCTAGACGTTAATGACAGACTCCTGAGCCACAGGATATTTGAGGAAACTATCACTAGAGATCGATTTTCCACAACAAGGGCAGTTTCGAACCATTAGTTTGATGCTGAGGGAAGGGCAATAACAATGAGGACAGTTTATCGCCGAATAAGATCTTTTGGACTGTTTTCATACCGTCCCCATCTTGTACTACCCCACAGCATCGTCGGCAACGATTGGTATGGAGTAGGTAAAGACTTGAATGAAATATGAAATGGAACTCAGTCGTGTTCAGAGATGAGGCCAGATTCTCTTTGGTCACACATGATGGCCGTGCTAGAGTAAGAAAGAGTCGTGGTGCAAGACGGAACGTCCAATATGCCACCGAACGGCATATTCATCGCAGTGTGGGTGTTATTGATTTATTTATTTAGCAACATCCAACAGCCATAGCCAATTACAGGATGGATAAACATGAAAATATAAACAAATGCATGTAGTGGGTGTATGTAGAGAAAGCTAAAACACTGCAAAAAAACCTCAAAGCAGAACTGCGAGGAAAAAAAGCGTTGTAGCTTTACCCACCCAGCATTCAACAATCACACCGGCAAGCATTAACGAAAATAAGCATTAATGTCTCCCAAAGTCGCACAAAGCGAAAATATATCTAAAACGCTATTAACTGAATTATAATTACGGCATATTATATAGATAGGGGAAAACTTAAGTATGTCAGTCCTAGGCCTGGCTAAGTACAAAGTTAAACTAGTTCGTGATGCTAATCTAGGAATTAAGAAGTTAAGTTGTTCTAGGATGACACTGGAGTCAATAATGCCATGGATGAGCTTGTGAGTAAACTTAAGTGAATTCTTTTTGCGTCTGCTCTCTAAATTATAGATTTTGTGTCTCACCATCAACTCACTATGAGGAAAGCCAATAGCAGGATATATCCCGTCAGCTTTGTATGAGAGGTATTTTAAAAAATTTCTTTGAACGGACTCTAAGCGGTCAATATATATATTTGATGACGAGGATACCAAACCAGAGACGTAAACTCAAGCTTAGATCTTACATAAGCATAGTACAGTATTTTCAGTGTAAAGGAGTTGTGTAAATCACCAGTATTTCTTACAATAAAATCATAGGCCTTTTATGCAGCCACAATAGCATTTTCGATGTGATAGGAGAAGGAAAGTTTTCTGTCAAATGTGACTCCCAAGTCATTAATTGTATTAGGTCTGTCAAGTTTCCTGTCACCAATACTATATTCATACATCAGTACCCCTGTTTTCAAAGTAAACGACAAAACGTGACACTTAGCAGCATTCAAAACCAGTCTGTTTTTACGACACCAGTTGTCAACCCTTACAATAATGCATTGCAAGACGATGAAAATCGTCAATGTTAGAGACTCTACAGAAAAGTTTCTTATCGTCAGCATATATAAGAAAATCGACATTGATAACTTCAGAAATATTATTTAAGAACATAATAAATAACAGAGGTCCCAAATAATTAGATCCTTGACGAACACCGGACATTACAGGGTATTCGCTTGACTTATGTCCATTGCACATAACATACTGTTTTCTATGAAATAAATAAGATCTGAAAAATAGCAACAATGCATCTTAAAGACCAAATCTAGATAACTTATTGAGTGGGATGTTATGGTCTAAACTATCAAACGCTTTAGAGAAATCAGTATATATTACATCCATTTGAAGTTGTCTATCGATTGATTCACAAACATATTGAGTAAGATGTAGCAAGTTAGTAACTGTAGACTTGCCCTTCATGAAACTGTGTTGACTGAGGGAGATAGACCTGCTTACATGGAAATATAGCACAGTTTGTATCACTATTTCGAATGTTCTAGCGAAATTACTGATGATTGTGATAGCCCAATAGTTTTCTACATAATTCCTCATACCTTTTTTAAAAACAGGAGTTACCCTAGACAACTTCCAAATAGATGGAAAGTGATTATTTTCCAGAGAGAGCCCTGCAGTCATTTTTGGCTTAATTTTCTTGAGCGCCTGTAGCACATCGATTTCCTGTACACTAGGCATAGCTAGTATAGTAGTGAAAAGGTAGTCAGTAGAAAAATCAGATTGACCTGTTGGAGTATTATAGCTCCCACTAAAGTGTTCCGCAAATGCGCCAACTACATCATTAGGTGTATTCAACCCCAGCCCATTGAACGCCATATCCTTCGGAATACCAGTGCAGTTTCTTTTTCTATTAACAAAAGACCAGAATTTGACGGAGCTGTTGGATATTTCACACTCTAAAGAGTGAATGTAGCGACGATATGAAACAGCTAAATGTTGCTTTATCTGTGAGCGAAGTCTTATAAATTTTTCTATATAATAAGTATCACCAGTGCGTCTGAAAGTCTTGAATGCCACCATTTTTTGTTTGAGAGTTCTAATGATATGGCTGTCGTACCAAGGAGGGTACCTATTATTATAAAATATTCTAACTTTAGGAACACAACAATCA